TGAAAATTCACTATTTTTTGAGATTTCAACAAGTTAGCTAAGTCATGATTTAAAAAAAAAAATTTTAAAAAATAGAGATAAAGGGAAAATGAGAGAGATAAAAGAAAAGTGAAAAAATTAAAGATAACTCTTATTTATAATTTTGCATTAATACTTATAAAAATTCACACTATGAAATAAAAAAAAAGTTAATACTCTTTCGTTCTCTATCATAAGCAAAAATAAAAATTAAAAAAAAAACCTAATTTTACACATATTAAAGAAAATTAATTATTTATATTAAATTCTATTAATTTTATAATATTTTTCCTAAATTATTTTTATAATAAATGTCAAAATCAGTAAGGGCATCTCCAATAGAAGCAACTCATTTGAGTTGCTTCATGCATTGAAAAATGAAAAAAATGGTTTCTAGTATGCCATGTCATGTCAGTATTAAGCAACTCAAACACAAATTTATTCCAATGGTAAGAAACTTTAAGAAATTCAACTTTTAGAATTTTTTTTCTAATCATTTATGAACCAATTTTAAATTTTTATTAAAAAGGATAATTGCACTACAATGAAAGAAAATAAATTATGAGAAAAAATACACAATAAGTAGATATTAAAAATAAAATAAAATAATAATAAATACATAGATATTATATGAAATTAATTTTCATCATTATTATTTCCGAAATGTTCCCAAATATGTTCAATAAAATCTACTTAAAATCTGGTAAGGAACGGTTGTTTGAGGAAGCAACTCTCTCTCTTCTTCAAGCAACTCATGTTGCCACGTCAGAGTCCTCCAATTACAAGCAACCGGGATTTAAGTTGCTTTATGGGACAAGCAACTCCCATTAGAGTTGTTCTAATGCAAAAATGTTATATATTAAATGAGGAATATTTTTTAGAAAGTATCATTAAATGAAAGAAAAGTAGTTTTTTTTTGTAAAGAAGATTACAAAGATTGTTGCAATGAGGATTGAACCTAGGTCCTCATGCTTCTAACTTCCCCAACCCCTCCCCACCTAACGGTCCAAAGAAAAGTAGTTAAAATTTGTTTATATTAAAAAAAATATTTTTTTCTTATAATAGAGAATAGATGAAGTAATTATAGATAGATTTTCGTTGAGTAGTGAAAAAGTCAATTATTGATTAATTATTCATATTTAATTTATTTTTAATATAATTTAATTATCAAAATTTTTATTTTTATATAATATAGACTAAATAATATTTTTATTTTGACGCCCTTTCAACATTAGAGCCTTAGACAATCACTCCATCTGTCCGTGCTTAAGACTGGCAATGTTTAGTCACAATTTTTAACTATCGCGATCGCCAATTTTCTTATAAGTTTACCATATAAAGGGTCTTATATTAAAGTTTGCTAAAATATACCGAACTAGTGAGTTTTTTTCTTCTTTTGATTACAATTTTTTTATAAAAATAAAAAAAAATAATCTCAATAAATATTAAACCTATTTTTATATATTTTTATTATTTCAATCTCTTCCTCCTTTATTATTAAGCTAACTCTAGTAATTTTTTACTTTTTTTTTTTTTTTTTTTTACAATGATCACAGTAAAACTTATAATCTCATGTTAGATCTAAGTAGGTAAAGCGCGTGAGTCTTACTCTTATTTTAATCATAATGTATAACAAACTTTAATTAACAATAAAATGTGTGAAAAATAATCTTTTAAATTTTTTATATATTATCAGTTCATTAAATAAATTATATTGTCAACTCGTTAAGAATCACTTTAAATATAATTTTTGAAATAATTATTAAAAATTAATTATGTTCCTTTATATGATGATTTATAATTAAAAGAAACTTAAAAAAATGATTGATCCATTCTAATTAAATTCTAAAATAATGTAGTAGAAAGTATAAAAATATAGTATAAAGATATTCGAAAGCTGGACATCAGTTTTTGGAACCTCGTGTACAATTCTTGCCGAAACCTAATGTTCTTTGGGCTTAAAGCCTCCAAGTCCATATACAGAAATGGTTGATGATATATACACCTCCATTTTTTTATACATACACCCCTTTTTTTTTAAAAAAAATATTAAAATTTTAAATTATGTTTAATATTATTTGGAATAAAAAAAAATTATTCTGGAAAGTGTTTTTCAAAGGTTGATGATATATACACATCTTTTTTCCTATAAAGTACACCTCCTTTTCAAAAAAAATAATTAAAATTTTAAAATATTTTTTTTACATTCACAACATTTAATTTAGTACTTTTTTTTTACAGATCTTTCTTTTTTCTTATTTTTTTTCTTTTTTCAATTTTTACATGCACCCTGTTATCTTTCCTTCACCCCACCTATTTTGGTAGCATGTAAAAATTGAAAGAAAAAAAAAATGTGTGAATAAAAAGAAAAAAGTAGAAAATTGAAAGTTAAAGGTATAAAATTAAAATATATATATATATATAATATTTTATAATTTTTTTAAAAAAATAAAGAAGGTGTATTTATAAATATAAAAAAAAACAGGAGGTGTATATATCATGAGCCTTCTGAAAAGAACTTTCCGTCAGAATAATTACGGAAAGTACTTTCCAGAATACTAAAATTACTATTCCGAAAATAACTTTCCGTCAAAATAATTATGGAAAATACTTTCCATAACACTAGAATTACTATTGCGAAAAATTCTTTCCGGAATATTAATAGTGTTTGTATTTGTTACCATAATTCTAGAAAGAACTTTCCGCAATAGTAATTTTAGTGTTACGGAAAGTACTTTCCAGAATTATTCCGATGGAAAGTTATTTCCGGAATAGTAATTTTAGTATTCCGAAAAGAACTTTCCATAATTATGTACAAATACACCTCCAAAAAAAATTTTCCAGGATAATTTTTTTTTATTTCAAATAATATTAAGGATAATTTAAGAATTTAATATTTTTTTTTAAAAAGGGGGTGTATGTATAAAAAAATGGAAGTGTATATATCATCAGCCTACAGAAATTAGTGAAAGAAGTAAAGTATGCTAATTCTTGGGCTTGAAGTTGTTGTTAGTTTCTTGGGCTCTATATGGAGTTATTGAGCTTCTCTTCATCAACCATTTCCGTTCGGTTCCTCTTTCCTTTGGCCCATGATAAATACATATTTTTTTTTAATAAGTATATCTCTTTTATTTTTTTTTAAATATTCTTATTTTTTAATTTTTTAATTTTATACTTCTAACTTTTAATTTAGTACTTCCTTCTTCTTTTTTACACACCTTTTTTTTTCTCTTTTTATTTTTACATAAACTCCCTTGCATTTTTTCCATTCTTTACATATTTCAGCAGATAGTTCGAATTATTTTGGTTTTCATATTACTCTCTTTTCCCTCATCTCTTTTAACTTTTATATGCACCCAAATTATAGAATTGGTGCACAACAGTGTTGTAAGGAACTGCAACTTCCTCAACAGTTTTGAATGTGTCAAGCCAAACACTCGTTTTTTCTTCAAATACATTCTATCCTTTTACACTTCCAAAAACTTTAACATTAAATTTAGTATTGAAAAAATATTTTTCAAAACATTAGTTTTAATATTTTGAAAAATACTTTTCGGAATAGTAAAATTAGTGTTCCAAAAACTATTTTCCAAAAATTTGTTTCTTTTACATACTTTTGAGAAGTACTTTTCAGAATATTAAATTTATTGTTCCAAAAAGAACTTTTTGAAATTATGTAAAACAACACATCCATAAAGTACTTTTCAAAATAATAAAATCAATGTTCCAAAAAGTACTTTCAAAAATGTGTTAGTTTAAATAATTCCATAAAGTTTTTTTTGAAACAATAAATTTAGTGTTCTGGAAAGTAATTTTTGAAAGTTATTCAAAAAAATAATTATGAAAAATATTTTTTTAGAACACTAACATTACGATAAAATTGGCATATAGTGACACAATACGTGTCACTAAAAATTATTTTTACCCACACAATAAACATAATATATGTTGGTATATTGTTAAAAAGTGTGGACATATGTTATAGTGACATACAAAATATATTGTTAAATCTCATTCAAAATCAACAATAAAATTGTATGTAACTATATGTTAAATAAATATATACCTACATATATTGTACCTATAATGACATTTTTTATATATCACTATATGTAATATTTCTTGTATAATTTCACTATTTTAAAAAATATTTTTCGAAACACTAAAGTTATTTGAAGCACTATATTTAATGTTGTTTGTTCTAGACGTGTAAATGGGGGGGGGGAGGAGGGGGAATACTAAAAAAAATGAACATTTGCCTCAACAGTTTCAATGTTATCGAGGAAGCCGCATGCGTCTACAATGTAAAAGAGAGATATCGGTGTATGTGAAAATTAAAAAAGAGAGATAAAGGATAATAGTGTAAAAACTAAAAGGTGATGAGATAATAAAGTAATGTAAAAATTAAAAGAATTAAAAATGCTTACTAAGAAGTGGAGAGAAAATAAAATAGTGAATGTGAAAATTAAAAAGAGAAAGGAAGAAAAAGGTGTTAAATTGAATGATGAATGTATAAAATTAAAAATATTTATAATTTTTTTTAAAAAAGGAAGTGTACTTAAATATATATATCATGAGCCGTCCACAAGATATATAATCCCTCTTTTAATGGAGTGCATTGTTTTTGTTGATAGAAAGGGCCAATTCAAAGAACGATCTAACGCCCCTCTCAAGACAGTCAAAAGCATCCTTAAAGATACACCTACGAGTACAATACTGAATCAACAAGAGAACTCCAGTAGAGTTTTCGAAGGTCTACGATTAATGACGAATAAACCTACACCAGAGCTATTACTACAGGGCATGGCTTCAAGAGTGTCTCTACCTGACGAGGAAACTCAAATCTATGCGAAGGCATTACGGAGGCATTTCGACCCGAAGCTAAGGAATAATCCTAGTATTTCTGCTAGTCAACCTTCTTCGGAAGCAAAGCATGATGGAAGTCCGGGGGTTTCAAAACCCACTAACACTGGTAGTTCCCAATGAATTGCTTAAGTTGGAACTGTAGGGGAGCAAGGGGAAGAAGGTTTCCCTCTTTGATGAATGACGTCATCAGGGAGTATAATGTTGGACTCCTATGCCTTATGGAAACCCACATCAGTGGTGATTGTGCTTGGAAGGTTGCTCGTAAGATTTCACTTGACAAGTGTTTCATGGTCCAGGCTCAAGGACAAGCAGGAGGGATTTGGTTCATGTGGGACTCTAACAGATGGTTCGTGGACATTTTGGAGCACACTGCACACCTCATTCATATCAAGATCAATGAAGGTGATAACCTGTGGTTTTGCACTTTTGTTTATGCAAGCCCACACCCACAAGGCCGTATTCCACTTTGGCGGGATATATCTCGGCTGGCGAGTTTTGTGGATGGAGCATGGCTAGTGATGGGAGACTTTAATGCAATACTCCACCCCTATGAAAGAGTGGGAAGTATTAGCCAAACCTTCTTTAGAGGGGTCCAAGCTTTTAGATCCTGCATTAATCAAACCAGCCTCATGGATATGGGTTACAACGGAGCCCCTTTCACATGGCGCCGTGGGAACCTATTTGAAAGATTGGACAGGGCCTTGGTGTCGTATGAGTGGTGTGTAAGGTTCCCGGATGCTTCGCTTTCACATTTGAATCCCCTAAAATCTGACCACACACCAATACTCGTAAGATTTTCTACAAACATGAGCGCCATACCTATCGTCGACCCTTTCGCTTTGAGGCTGCATGGATGACCCACAAGGAATTTCCGACCCTTATCCGCAACGTGTGGAATGCTAAAGAGGGATGGAATCAACGGATAAATCATACGAAACACTCCTTACTAGAGTGGAATAAGTCCACATTTGGGAACGTGTTCTTCACAAAACGGAAACTTCTCAGACGTCTGAATGGAATTACTACAAAATTACTTCAAGGCCCTAACCGTTTTCTTGAAAAATTGAAAATCGAATTATGGACTGAATTAGACAAAATTCTCAAGAGAGAATAAATTATTTGGTTTCAAAAATCCCGGTGTAAGTGGCTTCGCATGGGAGATAAAAATACTAGGTTTTTCCACGGAACTACCATTGCTCGGCGCAGAAGAAATAAGGTGTTTAAGCTACTGAATGAAAATGGAGATTGGATGGAGCAACCAGCCGAATTGGAAAGAATGGTAACTACTTTTTACATAATGCTCTTCACTGATGAAGGGCATATGGAACCTTTCAGCTTGACTAATGCTTTCTCGCGACTTAACGAAGACGAACTCTCCACTCTAGAAGCGCCCATCAGCAATGGAGAGATTCATAATGCAGTGAAGTGTATGAGTGGGTTCAAGGCTCCGGGCCCAGATGGACTACAAGCTATGTTTTTTAAATCCCAATGGGACATTGTGGGTAATGCTATGTGCAAATTAATCCACGAGATCGAAGTTGTACCTTCTAGAGTTGCTGATATCAATGAGACATTGATTGTTTTAATCCCGAAAATGGAAAATGTCTCCTCTCTAAAACAGATGAGGCCCATCAGTTTATGCAACGTTTCGTACAAAATCCTAACTAAAGTCTTGGCTAATAGACTTAGACAGGTGATGGAAAAACTAGTCCATCCTAACCAGTGCAGTTTCATTCCAAACAGGCAGAGCAAAGACAATATCATAATTTTTCAGGAAGTAATTCACTCTATGAGATATAAATCAGGAGCAAAGGGGTGGATGGCAATCAAAATTGACCTTGAGAAGGCCTACGATAGGTTGAAGTGGGACTTTGTGAAAGATACCCTTCTAGATATTGGATTCCCAACACAATTTGTTAACATTATTTGGGCGTGTATTTCCTCTCCAAGAATGCGCATGCTTTGGAATGGAGAAACCCTTGATGAATTCCTTCCCTCCCGCGGTGTTCGCCAGGGAGATCCGATCTCTCCATACCTATTCATCCTATGTATAGAGAGACTCTTCCAACTTATCTCCAAGGAGGTTGAAGCGAAGAGATGGCAACCGATCAGATTGGCAAAAGCCCTCTTTCCCATTTTGCTTTTGCTGATGATCTTATCTTATTTGCCGAAGCTTCTATGAATCAAGTAGAAATAATCTAGGACTGCCTTGATCGCTTTTGTGCCAGCTCTGGTCAGAAGGTTAGTCTAGAGAAGACTAGGATCTTCTTCTCAAAGAACGTGGCACATACTGTGAGAAATGATATCAGCTCAGGCCTAGGTTTCCAACGTACAAATAACCTAGGAAAATACCTGGGAATTTCGGCCCACCACTCCAGAGTCTGTCAGAGAGATTACCAAAATGTGATCAACTACGTAAATAAGAGGCTTAGTGGGTGGAAAGCATCTACGCTTTCCTTCGCGGGTCGACTTACCTGATGCAAATCAGTCATCGAGGCTATTCCAAGTTACACCATGCAAACAGTTCACATACCCCGGAGCATCTACGATGAAGTGGATAAATTGTGTAGGAGCTTCCTCTGGGGTGATAGCCTTACCTCAAGGAAAATTCATGCCATTAGTTGGAATACTATTTGTATGCCTAAAGATCAAGGTGGGTTAGGTCTTCGGTCAATGAGAACGGTCAACAACTCCTTTATGATGAAGAATTGTTGGAGCTTAATTACGGAACCCAACAAGCTCTGGGTGAAAGTTATTCGCTCAAAGTATAAATGTCAAGATGGTGCAATACCCAGAGTTGAGAAGTAGAAGGCTAAAATGTCTAATCTGTGGCAAGGCATCTGCTTGAACTGGACACATGTCACTCCTCAAGTTAAGTGGCGAGTAAAGGATGGTCAATCTGCACGATTTTGGTACGACTCTTGGCTGCCACAACAGGTTTCGCTTATTCATTATGCAACTACGTTCGTACCACCTGTTGAACATTTTCGAAAGGTTAGAGAGTACGTGATTGATCAAGGAGCGTGGAAGAGTGATAAGATTCTCAATTGGCTCCCTCGGGAGTCCTTGAACAGCATTGAAGCCCAAACTCCTCCCACGATTAGCGCTGGGGCTGATGAAATTCAGTGGGGACTTACTACTGATGGACTTTTCACCATAAGATCCGCCTATGCAAGCTTGTCCGCATTTGACTCAATTCCCTGTGCCCCTATCTTCAAAGTCCTTTGGAAATGGCAAGGACCAGAGAGGATCAAGCTTTTTCTCTGGCGCGTGGCTCACGAGAGTCTCATGACGAATGAAGCTCGCTTTGGAAGAGTTTTAACGACCAGCCCAATTTGCCCTATCTGCATGCGGGACGTGGAAAATACCATGCATATTCTAAGAGATTGCATTTTTGCTCGCCAAGTATGGAGTTCGATACCTTGGGGAAGTTGCATCAGTCAACCCACGGGAAGTAACTTTCAAGAATGGCTAATCTACCACCTAACCAGGAGTCGTACAGAGCTGATGAATTGGCCCCTCACCTTTGCGATCACAATTGATGCACTATGGAACAGAAGAAACGAAGTTGTGTTTCAGCAGTCGTCCTTATCGGCAAGCCAACTAGTACTCAAGGTAACGAACTGTGCAAATTCTATAATCAACAGTAGCACTTCATTTGATGCAGGAGACCAGTCAGATTACACACTTATCACAAGGAACTGGGTTTGCCCTCCTTCGGGGTTTATCAAGTTAAATGGCGATGGGGCTGTGTCATATTCGGGGACAAGCTCATGTGGGGGTTTAATTCGAGACCCTGATGGGAGGTGCATCATGGCATTCTCAAGAAAGCTAGACCGTTGCCCTGTCATTAAAGTTGAGCTGTGGGCCATCATCCAAGGGCTTCGACTAATTCACCTTAAAAAATTGGGTACGCACATTTTAATAGAATCTGATTCACTAGAAGCAATCACACTGTTAAGGAATGGATGCCCCCATCAGAATGAATGCTTTGATCTAGTTCAAGAGATATCAGAGTTAGCGGCTTCCTGTGAGATAGTTTCGTACCTGCATTTTGGTAGGGAGGCCAACTTAGTGGCAGATCTCTTAGCTAAACAATGTAATATAGGAGAGGAGAATCTAATTACTTACGATTCGCCTCCTATTTTCATCTTTCGCGCTTTAGACGCTGATCTGGCGGGCGTTCTCTGAGTTTGTTTTGGGCTTTTAACCCCTTTCTTCACCAAAAAAAAAAATTAGCCCTAAATATTCTAATATATACCGTGTCACATACCATTATAAAATTTTAATTATTGAGTGGTAACACGGCCAATGATTTAAAATTTAACAAAATCCTTACGATTAGGCAGACATGAATAAAGATGATATAGAATACAGTTGACCATGTCTTTAAAGTCAACAATATATATATGCTATATAAACAATACATTGTATTTTATACATAAACAAAAACTAGCTTAATTTTTATCTATGCATCTGTACTGCATGCATTTCACTTTATTTGTTTTTCTTTATGTATGAATTTTCCTATAGCCCAATAATTTTGAATATATACTTTTTTTTTATTAGTTTAATAGTTTATAAGACGCAGGTGGTAGTGGAAATATAACATCAACAACATGAATGTAGTGAATCTTTTTGAATCCAGGTAAGTATTTGCTGTCTTGGCATATAGAATAGAAGCAGCACTTTTTACTTGTTATGCCATATGCTTAATTCAAAGTTCTCTCATTCATGCACATGCCCACTTCTTAATGTCTTGACATTTTACCTGCTTAAAATCGGAGAAATTATCACCTCAACATGGTTCTGGAATCTGGATTATAGGGTTTGTTTGATTTACTTTTTTTTATATAAAAAAAATACGGTATAAATATAATTATTTTATGTTTGATTTAATAAAAGATCAGATAACATAAATTGGGGGAAAAAATATAAATGACAAATATCTAGCTATTTTGTTTACAATAAAGATATTCTTTAATCATGTTGAAACTTGTTAATAAATAATCAACCTTTAAATAAAATAGGAGACAACTTTTTATCTCAGGTGCAAAATATTTAAAAGACGAAAACATTCTTACTTATTCCTCAGTAATGCAATTGTACTTGAACAAAAAATGTTTAGCATATCAGTAAACATCTTTAGAATTTATCAGTGATGCAGTCACTTATACAAAAATTGTTTGGCATATCTGTAAACATCTTTAGAATTTTGTTAAATACTTTCGTTGTTACTTCACTTAATTCATGTTGCACATAGTATTTCACGAAGACATATTTGATCCCACGAAGACATAGTACCTCTTGTTTTGCACATAACCTGTGATCATTGCATTCCAAGAAACCACATTACAAATAAACATTCCACAAGGTAAAAAGCCTTTGTGCATTCCCAATCCCACTACACTGCACCAATGTATTTCAATGTGGCATGCGTGAAATATCTTTTTATTAGTTAAGCTAGAATCAAATAAACAAAGACTAGCTAACAACTAAGTCAAGGACTAAAAAGTTACTATAAAAATGTTGAAGACTAATGAAAAAGAAAACAATTTACTTATTATTATAATACATCAATTTTTATAGGTTAAATACCTTTTTTTGTCTCTTACAATGTTTTTTTGTTTCAATTTAGTCCCAATTTAATTTTTAGTCTCAATTTGGTCCCCAATAACTTAAATTAGTGCAATTTGGGACTTCCGTCCAAATGATTTAGACGGAGTTAACTGTTGGCCACGTGACATCTACGTGGATGCCACGTGGATGCGCACGTGGACGCCAAAATGTTTGGAAAAAAATCTGAAACCAGAACAGTCCGTTCTGAAACCAGAACGGCCCGTTTTGAATTCAGAAC